CAGCTTCACACAGCTAGCTGTGTGTGATCCGACAGAGTTTTCCTGAGAAGAAAACCCATAGATTGTGTTTAAACTCCGCCCACTGGAACCACTGCAACTGCCGGAGTAGAGTGAAGTTCACAGAGAGGACATGTCCCTGGCCGGCGCATCAGCTGTTGGTTAGAGGTTACAGCTAAACCTGCACCGTTCAAGTTGAATTAATAATAATATGAACTCCTGGACCTTCTGAACACGTTTAAGAGACTCTGGTTTCAAGATGCTGTTAACTGCAGCTTCTTTACCTGTACAGCCTCACCAGGGGCCTCATGTACAAAGACTTGCGTGGATTTCTTACTGAAACATGACATACGGTCAAATCCAGAAAAGTGTGTATGCACACACACACACACACACACACACACACACACAAAAATCCAGATGTGTCAAACCGTGCCTGAATCCACCCATATTTCTTTTGTACATCACAATTAACGTGGAACTGAGCGCACGTGACACACCTCCCTTGACACGCCTTCCTTAACATATGTTAAACATGCAAATTACTTTAGCTGTACATGCCCTTTAAAGTTGGAAACTCTGTCAATTTGCCTAAACTGGAGGCCAGTCTGTCAACTATTAGGGGTTGGCTATCTAACAATTTCCTGCTTCTTAACGTTGATAAGACTGACTTGCTAATCATTGGACCTAAGAAATCCCATGGCTTATCTCAACCTTTCACCCTGCAAATTGATAATCAGATCATTAGATGACAAGAAAAAGTTAGAAACCTAGGCGTGTGGTTTGATCCTGAGCTTTCTTTTGACTTCCATTTAAAGGAAGTAACTAGAATTKCCTTCTACTACCTCAGGAACATTGCCAAAATCCAGCACACCCTTTCTTTTGATGATGCTGAGGTTCTTATTCACGCTTTCGTGACCTCACACATYTATTATTGTAATTTCCTCCTTTCCGGACTACGCAAGAAAAGTTTTAGATGTCTGCAGATGGTCCAGAATGCAGCTGCCCGTATTTTAACTCATACCAGGAAAATTGACCACATCACTCCTGTAATGTTATCCCTTCACTGGTTGCCCTGCCAGATTCGGGCTGATTTTAAGGTGCTATTGCTCTCCTATAAGGCTTTAAATGGTCTTGTGCCTCCATATATTACCAGCCTTTTACATCCCTATGTGTTCAACAATCCAAGGAAAAAAATTATGGACTAATCTGGAAAGTAATGTTAAAAATGCCAGATAATGTGTATGTTTACAAGAATGATAAAAGTTGGTTTGTTGAAGAAATATGAAATAGTATAATGTGTATTCATATTAATTGTTGTTCAAAAAGGATTAGATGTTTTT